CACATTGAAGGTTTTATTTTTTTATAATAATAACAATAATGATTGTTCTTGTTAAAAATTACTTTGTTTTTTTTTTATATTAAAGCTGTTTCTTTGAGTTAAAAATTATGTTTTTCACAAACCCTTTTGTTATTTAACTTGCCTAAACTCATTTGCCAAAGAGACATCGTTGTCAAAAAAATAAAACCAGAGAAAACGCAGGAAAAATCAAGATAAAAAAAAGAGAAAATGAATTCAATTAACTTTTCTTTCCACTGAGTTAGAATAATGAAATTTTAATTTCAGAATTGCTCGTTTCAGGTTGCGGTTTTGGCGTAAAATCAAAGATAAAAAAAATTTCGTCTTGTAAACTCAATAATCCGGGGACATACAGTAGAATGTTAAATATCCTTTTATTTACCAATTCTAGGCATTTAAAATTTATGTTTTTAGATAAACAATTTAACAATCTATTAGATGCAAGAATAAAAAAAATAGGGTGTTCCATTTAAGCTTTTTAAATTATTTAACTTTTAACTAACTTCAACAATTTTTTATCTTTACATGCAATACTCTAAAAAACCGTTAACCCTTAAAGTTTGCACTTTCTTCTTTACATTAGTGAAAATTTTTTCTAAATTTTTAAAAGGTTATATGTTTTCGTCAAAAAAAACAACTTATTTCAAAAATTAAGCAAATTCGACCAACAAAGCTTAAGTTTGTATTGTAACTTATTTTTGGAACAAATTGTACAATTGAAAATAATAAATAATTTCAAGCGATGCAGTAGATTAGTATCTATCATTTTCTTGTACAATTTTTTTTTAAATGTTAACATTTAAAGGTCAGTAATGGACTTTACCAACTGGCTGGGACAGCCTGTATAACATACATAACAAAAATTTATACATATAATCAAAACAGAAAACAAAGAAAATAAAACGAATTCATTAAATAAACAAAAGAAATATACAAAATAGCCTGAAACTCAACAATTAATGAATTAAGATTTTCTTAGTTCAGGAGTTTTTAAAAAGAAGTTTTCAAAATAGTTTTTTTTTTTCATTTCTTTGCTATTAACACAACGGTAAGGTATGCAATTTCGTTATGACCTAGTTTGGGTTGAAAATTTTTATAATGAATGCTAATAGAAGAAAATTTTTATGGGCAGAGATAAAAAGTTTTATTAAGGTTTCATAATATGGTAGTTAGTAATTAAGCAAGAAATAATTTCCAAAGTGATCATTTTCTTTGCACAGAAGGACTAAAAACCGTTTTACAGTATTTCTACATAAAAGAGAATAATAATACATAATTACATTTTTTACAGAAAAGGTCGGTAGGAAATGGGTACATAATTACTGTCAAATAAAAAATTATTATTATTTATTTAATCATAACATAACAATATGGTTTTATGTTTTCAAGGAAATGTTTAGAATGTATTGACCAAATTGTTTCTCCAATTAAGTACAGAATAAATTCATGTAAAGATTGTTTTATTTGTAACATGATACAAGATAAAAAAAATTGTAGCATTTGGGCTTCCTAATTTGTAATAAAAGCAGAAAATGTATGGCAGTTATATTTTTATCTCTAAACCACAGACTATTTGCTAGTTATTAAAAAAACATGTTTAAAATATAATCCCAAGTTTAAGTAAGTACATATTTGTACAAAATATTAGCACAAAAATATTTACGTTTTTAGATTGTCTTTAAATTTAATTGGATAAAATAATAAAATTCTTTTATTTAAATGAAAATTTGTTTGTAGAAAATGAAGGGTGCAATTTTTTTCCCCAACTCTTCCAGTTCCAATGCAACTTGTATGTTACAATATTTTCGCAAAAATTACCAAGAAAACGCCTTGAACTTTGAAATAAATTCCAGATGCCGCATAAAAGACTTGACCCCCGTTGTGGAGCCCGTGAGTCGCTTGCCTCGAGCGACCCCAAAACGAACAAAAAAATCGCCTCTTCAATCAGCTACAAAATCGCACAGCCAGAGTCCGACAATAAGCTCGTCTGACTCCTCCCGCAACTCAAGCCCCGGGATGAACCAAGCCCAGTCTCGTCTACACAATTCCGGCGGAAGTCCTTCTCTTCGCAGGAGTCTCCTTCTAGCGGCGAGAGCGCCCCAGGTGCCCCCCAGCCCGTCCACTCACCGGCGCAGTACTCTAACTCAACCCACCCAGGCCAGCGCTGCCAAATCGGCTCCATCCAAGAACGTCAAGACCACGCCCAGGAACCCTCCGCCCAAAGCCACACCTCCTCAGAGGAAACCCCCGGCGCGAAGCGCCGTCTCTAATCCTAATCTAAGGAAACCAACAAATCCAACGCTCTCTAGCAAAAAGCCGATTAGTAGGTCGAGCTCGCCCTTGAAGGGCGACAGTAGGGCCAGCTCGCCGAGGAAGGTGGACAGTAAGGTCACTTCGCCGATAAAAGCCGATGTTCGGACGTCTTCGCCCAAGAAAATGCAAAATGGGAAAGTCGGGTCGCCGAGAAAGGAAGCGAAGGAGAGCAAGGAAAGCAAACCTCTACCTACAATACAAAGGTCGAGCACTTTTCTCAAAGATGAGCCCACTGTTTTGGGGAAAGTTAAGTAAAGGGATGTTTCCAGCTAGTCCATTCCTAGTCAGGCATATTTTGTTTCGTTTTTGATCTCGTTATTGTATTATTTTTGTATGTTTGTAATTAGAAAACATTGTGATATATATTACATTTAAATGCTTCACATGAATCAAATTTTAGTCGTTTTTAAATTAAATACATTCCATAAATGTGATAATTTAACTCAGATACTAAAACGCAGAGTACTTTGTGTTTTAATTAATTTAGCTCGAAACTACTCACTTAACTTCAAGCAAAATTAGTTAAAAAATTGTGCATTCAAAAATATTTATGTTTAAAGGTGCCAGCTGTTATGCTACCCACATTTTATGTACTGTCTTAAGTTGTCTTGTAAATTAAATTCAAAGACTGAATTTATTAAACAAATCAAGTACAAATTTTGGGTAATCAAATTTACCAGCGTGGGTAGTATTCTGTGATTTTTTTAGGTGTTTAACGCTTTTAAATTAATTTTAATCACGTTCATGTGAAGTTCCTGATATTTGATTAAGCGTTGTTGATAAGAGTGAACAAAGTACGTGGAATATAAGATAGATATCTAAAGGGAAATGACAGATTCGTATATATTAATTTACTATTGTAATAGTTGTTTCATAACAAATGTTTATAATTTCATGTAAATTAAATAAAGTAGATATTTTTAATCAGGTGTTATTATTACAACTTTGAGGTAACTGTTCCAATTTAAACTTAAATAATTAAAATTCAAGTTTAAATTTTTCAAAATATATTCTGAAAATGGTCCCCAAAAGATAACACTCCACAGACCTTATACAAAATGATCTACAAATAACACAGTTATGTACACAATACAAGTTTGTATTCAATTTAATTACACATGGGCGGCTTATTTATTTCCACGAAACAAATAAGCTTGTCATAGAAGAAGACTGGACTAAAATAAATAAATGACAAACAATTTATCCACCTTAGGGTGTCTATAGCAAAAACAAAACGTAAYACAAAGCCGATTAATGTACATTTCAAATATCAAATACAGGAGTTATTTACAATAATCCAAGTCAGAGTCGTACACTGAAATAAAAAATGACTACTTGTTCTTACAAATACTTGTCAGGGCAATATGTTTTTGTGTACCCRTTACAGTTGACATGAAAAGTACATAGAATTCAACAAAACTTTACAATGAATGCTATAAAACATTATGAAATATTTAATTTTACACATTAGTTACAATATGATACACGCATTAAAAATAGTTTATAGGAAATAAAAATACACTATATTTATTTACCTTAAATCTACAATAAAAAATGACTACTGCTGTAAAAATATTGATCAGGCAAGACTTTTTACTTGAGATTATGAATCGTAAATTTTGATTTTTTCAGTTGTCGCTGCCTTGGACATGCACAAAACCTCAAGTAAACCATTTTTAAATAATATTGACGCTTACAACTTAACTTATTAGGCTGATATTAACATACACAAAATCTGAGCAAAATTTCTACAACAAAAAAGTGTGACAATATGAAACAAACAACATTTCATTTAAACAAATATGGAAGACGTTAACCTACGATTGTTACTCTTCTTCGCAAAAATATATTATTAAAAATATCGCATATTTGCAACACACTGCAAGACTATAAGGCCATTTATTTCATTGGATAGGTCAGACATTCATTTGATTTTATTGGCACAAAATACAAATTGCTAAATGAAAAATCAACTAATTAACAAAATAAAACAAACTAAACGACATGACYTCATGGAATGCACATTAAATAATGCAGCTATGCTGCCACTTCTTATCTAGACATTTACTTAAAAAAGCCTTCATTTGATTGTGAATACCATGTTGCACTCATTAAACTTTTGAGTATGTTTGAGATGAATGATGAGTTCAAAATTCTGTGATAATCAGCTACTTAAGTCTTTTTAAAGTTTGAGATCTTGTCTCGTAGCACATAATCGTAATCACATACCTGACATACAATATCTGATTTGTTGAACTAGTTCTAGTTATCTCTACGTGCTTTTTTCTTACTCTTCTTCGCGACTTTCGCTTCTGTCCAAACATCTGTAATAATAAAAACAAATTGGAATCAATAAAATAATCAAAGATTTCAACCATACCTCCAAGCTCGTCGAAGACTACACCACCTTCTTTGGTGGGAGACTTGGGCGGTTCTTCCCTAATCTCCTCTATCACTTTCTCAACTTTCGGTTTAGGAACTTCCTTTTGAGCCGGTGGTTCTTTCTCAACCGGTCTTTCATTCTCTTTCTTTGCCTTCTTTTCCTTCTTCTTTTCTTTCTTCTCTTCAATCACAACGACGGGTTCTTCGATCAGAATCGGTTCCTCTACAGGCTTCTCAACTTTGATCTCTTTTTCTTTCTCACGCAATTCCTTGTTCACCACTTCTTTGACCAACTTTTCAATTTCGGCGGTTTTCTCGACTTTCTTTAATTTCTTCTCTTTTTTGGCTGGACTCTGATCCGGTTTTTTCTTCTTATCAGCTTTACTGGGGACAGTTTCCCAGTTGCCATCGTCAAAATCCACTGGTTTTTCACTGAGGAGTTKCTTCAAGTTCTTCTTATTTTTCACTTCTTCGATCACTTTATTTTTGATGGCTTCGTTCTTTTTGTTCTTTTCGGCTTGTTTGTTATTTTCAATTTTTTTGTCTTTAGGTTTTTGAGCGTCAACCGACTCTTTGGTAGGCGACTTTTTCGAATCTTTTACTGGTGATTTTTCGGTTTTTGGATCACCACTAGACACGTGTCCGTTGGCGGTGGTTTTCTGAAAATTAAAATACACCTTCTCAAATCTGACTGTGTCAATTACAAATATTTAAACAATTCAGTGGTTTGGACAACTGAAAAAAAATTGTACTTCTGGCTCCTTCGTCGCCTCGTCACGAGTCATTTATAATTGTTTCAATTCACGTTATGTAACTAAATATCAAATTATAACCTTATAGTCATAAAAAATGACACAAAGCAATATTTTTATCTTGTATTAGCTCATCAATAATTTATCTAAAATCTAAGAATTAAAGGTCAACTTGGGATTACATACGAAATGTTACACAATAATTAAGTTGGCAAGAATTTTAGAGAATTAATTATAATTATTCATGTTTAACTTAATGATTTTCGACGTTCTTTCCTTTAATCAAGTAATAACTAAGTAGAATCAAACAATCAATTAAGAAACGACACGCAAAGATATTTGAAATTAGAAATTTTATTAAATTTTTCTTTTATTTTACTATCACTTGTTCAAAAAAATTGTTACTTCTGACGAAAAAAGTTCCTAAATTTCCTAAAACAGGGTGTTAAAAAAAGATTGTAACATATTTAAGAAGGTAATAGTATGGAGAAATCAAATGTGCATTTTTTTAGAATTTCTAGCCTCTCTTTTTTGTTTAAACAGACTGCAAATAAATATTTCAAAAAACGAATCATTTTCGATATCTCTGAAACCGTTACTTTGCGGACCCATGTTTTTATGATTTTTTTGTTTGTTTTGGACTATATTATTACCTCCTGAAATATTTTGCAATCTTTTTTTAACACCCTGTATAAACTTGCGCTACACAAACTGAAAAATATTTGTATGTACATTTTCCTGTATACTGTCAAAAGTCCTTGTTGTATTGTTTATTTATCTTATCTACCATGTAATAAAAATTATTCACTTATCGGCTTTATAAGTGAGACTTCTAAATTTTCTAATGACATTTGTTCAATTTCCCAAAACAGATAAATAAAAAAAGATAAACAACTACCTATAATTCTATCTACAATTTTAAAGCTTGTATGATAAAAATGTACTGTTCGGTATTTTTAGCTTTAGTTAATTAGTGCCGATAACATTTTCTCTAAAACGTAAAAAGTGTGTTAAAATACTTATTCTACGAAAAATAAATAGAACCACAAAAATAATAATATGCGATCCATTTTTTAATCATTATTAAACTTTCAATTCACAAAAACAAATATGACTATTAAAATTTTCTTTTTTTTTCTTCACACTGGGAGGGATCAAAAATGCATATTTGAGTTGGTAATACTGAAGTTAATTTTTAAATTGTATTATTTTTGATGACCCGGTATACAGCATGCGCCAGAATTCGCGCCCCAGAGAACATTGCCATATAAGGTAATATACCAGGGACATGGAAAAAATGTTAAAAAAAAAATTATCTATAAAAATTTCGAAGTTCTGAGGGTTTAAATTTTGCACTTTGACTCTATTTATTTCTGTTGGAAAAATAATTTTCCAAGTTTTTTTGCTATAGGTTGTTAAAAGAGGAAACAAGAATGCTGTATCCTAAATTGTAACTCTGTTCAATGTTTTTTGTGGCTTTTATTGGCAAAATTTTTGTGCCTTTACTAAATAATTGTAAAAAAAACATATACAAAAAAAAAACATGTACATCAGTATAATTAAATAGACATAAAAAATCTCAAATGTCAAAAAATAAATTCAAAATTTTTTGACAGAATTTTTTAAACATTTTTTTATGTTCCTGATATCTCACCTTACTTGAAAATTTTTCTCTGGGGAGCGAGTTCTGGCGCACCCTGTATACTCGTAAATATCTACACTCAAGTCTCATAAAAATATACAAATATAAGAATTTGACAAATTTTTGAAAATTTGTCCTTAATGATTGGTTGACAAGTTTGCCATTTTATGGAAATTATTAGTTAAATAGTTCTTTGTGTTACCAAGGGAAGAAACAATTTGTTTCTTCCTAAGAGTGTTGTTTATTTCAAGAGCCGAAGACAAGAAAAATAAAGCACTCATGGGAAGAAAATAATAAATAAATCAATAAATAAAGCCAAAGGTAACTTTCAATTTTAGTGTTAGAAAAAAAAAATACCTTAGTTTCTCCTTGAAAAATGAGTGCAACTTTTTTTATAATTAAAATGAACTGAAATATGGAAAAATTACGTGGTTTTTGTTACCGCAACATTAGCACTAATAAAAAAAGGAGTTATAACAAGAATTCACCGTCAAATCATATTTTCCACTTTCAAAAATAACTCAAGAAAAAAAAGTGGCGAAAAATTTGGAAAAACAAATTAAAACAAGTAATCCAACATGATGAAGTGTTTTTGTAGTTTTCCACTGCTCGTTTTTTGAGACCCAGTGTATACGTAAAAATGTAATTTTCATTTATTAAAACATAACTACGAAAAGATTCACGACAAAAAATAGAAAACTTTAGAAAAATTTGGAATTAGGAAACTAAGAAAAACCAATTAATTTAATTAGGTTATTCACAGTGTAAATAATGCTTTTATGGTTTGACAGAATAGATGTCACTGTCAATAGATTTCTACAAACAATGACATTTAACAATCATCATTCTTCGTTTTTTGAGACACCCAGGGTATATGTAAAAATATAATTTCCATTTATTAAAACATGACTACAAAAAAATTTACGACAAAATGGAAAACTTTAGAAAATTTAGAAATAGTAAATTGAGAAAAACAAATTATAATAATTTTTTTACAGTGTAAACAATGCTTTAATGATTTGACAGAATAGTGTCACTGCCAATTGATTTAAAGATGACATTTAAATTAAAGACCCAGTGTATACGCTTTAAAGCCAAATTTGCTATAATTTTAGCACTTTTTAAATAAAAAAGGTTTTTATAAATACATTTTTGTCGCAGCATTGTTAGAAATTGTTCAATCAATGCAAATTAGAAATGACTTTATTATCGTGACGCTGACCACAAGTGATATGTTTTTTTAATAATCCACACGTTTTATGGCCATGGCAATCAACTTAACAATTAAATTTTAGGTGTGTTAAATTAATGTTTATGCAATGAACAAATTTAAACGCAATTACCTACATGAATGAAAAATATCAACAAAATAACCTAGCGAAAATTTGAAAAATATGTATTTTTAGTAACAATTAAAAAATTGTGCAGCTGTGGAACAAATTAGCTAAACGATTTTGGCCACGGCGCATTCCTTTGTTCCTTTATCACACTTGTTCATAGCAATTAGATATAAATTTCCCACTGACTAGTTATATCTGTTTGATCTAAAACTGGCAAAGATACAAGCAAGTTGAGCAAACAGGTTTATTTTAGCATTTCACCAAAAATCGTGGGGCTGCAGCATATGTTAGGTCGAGATTCGCCGATGAATTCGTTCGTTGATCTGAATTAAAAGTCCGACTGCTGTCATGTAGTTTTCTGGGGGCTTACCTTTTCCTTGATTTTCTTCCTTTTTCCAGCTTGTTTTCGATCATCGTTGGTGAGTTTGTCGAAAGGTGGTTGTTCCGCCGATTTGAATCCGAATGTGAACACTAGAATCACTACAATAATGACCAAAGCCACAGGTAACAGGTAGAGGGTGAGTTGGTTATTTACAAGATCTTTCACTAATTCCATTTTGATGGACCGAAAGTTGATTATTTCTATCGAAAAGCTGCCACGGAACCAACGAACCACCGCAAATCTAATTTTTGGTGACGCGGCTGTGACGTAAACAGATACATATGTTTATTTTATGCATTCTGCGCCACGTATTTGCGCAGCTGTCAAAGTTRGTGYCTATTTGGGGGATTCAACTTTGCCAACYACTCGYCAAGGACACCCGAAATAATGCAAAAAAATATTTGTGAAAAAATTAAACAACAAAATTGTATTCAAGGGCCGTAACTGGATAACAAAAAATAAATAAAATCTTATTATTATAAAGTTGTGAAAACAACAATTGACACACTGAATTTAGAAGAAAAATTTAGTAAATTTAACTTTGTAAAGTTGTGTGCAGAAAATATCCATTTTGCACCCACCGGAGAATCTTCATTCGAAATAATTTATTTTTTAATGAACATTTTGGTTTTCACTTGGAATGAAAAACCCTTGTAACTCTGCAATTACCACAGAAAATTAATACACTAATTTTTTAATTATTTATACAGTAAGTTAGGTCAAAAGCATCTTTTTTGAACATTTTCCACGTTTTTTAATGAGAAACTTGATTATTTCACCAATTTTTCTCAAAAAAAAATAGTCGAAAAACCAAAACAATCTATAAATAAATATAGTTCCATTTGTTTTTTATAAGATTTTACTAATTAGGGCCAAAAAAAATCGTTAAAAACAAGCCAAAAATTCAACAAAACCAGCCAAAAATTGTGTTATTTTTGCCTTTTTCGAATGTTTAAGAAAAAAAGGCTAGCTAAAAAATACAAAATTAAATCGAAATTTATGAGTACAGTTGCGGAATTAAAATTTTGGGCAGTATTTTTCTGCCACTTTAAAAAGTTTACTGTAAACTACCCTTTACTGTCATCATTTGACAATTAAACTTTTTTTTGTTGTTATGACACAAATCACTATTTTTGAAAGTAAATAAGTCAACATGACATAAACATGACAAGAGTAAAAAATGAGGTTATTAATGTAAAGGTTGTTTTAGAGTTTACATTATGAAAATGACAATACTGCCCGAAATTTTAATTCCGCAACTGTACATACAATACCTTTTTAGCTTGTTTCGTTTTTGAACCAGAGGCTCAATTATCTTGCGACATCTTGTTCAAACACGCTTTAAAATCACAAAAAGAATTGAAATTGATGTTATTTTGCTTATTTCATTCGATTTAATTGATTTTTGAGCAAAATTTTACAAAAATGCTTGTAAGCTCGTTTTTGAACTTTTTGGCTGAAACAAACCAAAAAGTCATCAAATTAAATAAAAAATAATATTATTTTTTGCATTTGTCGACTGTTTTAGTACGTTTTTCATCTARGAGCGCAATTATTTCGCAAAATTTCATTAAAAACAATATGCATTATTACATTAYGTCATTCTTTGCCTTTTTTGAAAGTTTAAGCAAATTTTTAAGATAAAAACTGTTTTTCCAAAAAAAAAAACTGGTGAATTGTGCTTAAGCTGACAACATTTAAGCTACATTTAAGACTATTTCAAGGTCGACAAATTTCAAACATAAAAATTATGTTTGAATTATTATTACATTATGTCATTCTTTGCGTTTTTTGAAAGTTTAAGCAAATTTTTAAGCTAAAAAGTCAGTTTTCTCCGAAAAAAAACTCTAAGGCTTTAACCACTTAATTTATGTAAAAAAAAGTAAATTTTAGATCCTATTGGTATGATTTAAATCGTAATTTTGTAATCTGGTGAAAATAGGGTAAATTTGGCAACTTTTCCCACTCTGGTACTGGTGAATTGTATTTTAAGCTGGCAACATTTAAGACTATTTCAAGGTCGACAAATTKCTTTCACAAACATAAAAATAATTTAATTTTTAAAATAAAATAAATCTGAAAAAATGTATAGGTATTTCTTTGTAATATAGCGTCACATAAGTGTTCTTACTAATTTCCTAACTAATCAAAAACATGAGAGGTCAAAAGTGACTAAAAATAGAACAATTCACCCAACTTTATGGTCACATTTTAAAGAAGTTTAAAGAATAAAAAAGCGAACAATTCTAAATAAAAAATTTTATTTCACATTTAGTTGGCTTTTTTTGTTGGAGCTGATCTCGCAAACACCACAACCAAAGGCTTATCTTTCAAAATGTAAGCGTTTGTTTCTTTTAATGCTTTTTGTGCGATTTCAACTGAACTTAAAGTAACGAAAGCTTGTCCCTTCATTCTGCCCTCTTGCATAAGTCTTATATCAAAAGTGGATGGATTTTCACCATCACTCTCTACCTTATATCTATTATAAATGTACTCCAAGTCTTTTAATTCAACATTTTTGGCGATATTTTTGATATACAATCTACAAGTTGGTGCTCCTGGATGATAATTCTTGAAAACTGGAAGAACATCAAGGTCTTTTTCKGGGATTTGGTTGGTGGCCAAYTCTTCAGCTGTAATGACAGTTTTCTCGGTTTTATCATTGGWGGTGTCTTCCGTTTCGGTYGAACAAGACGGAATGGTCCCCACTTGTTCCACCTCATCCTCTTTSCCTTCTAAAGCYGTCGCGGACACTTTCAACTCGATTTTGCGYGGAGTTTGAACATCAGACTTCTCGAAAACATCTTCAGGCTCGTGTTTGGTACTACTTGAAGGCACTGCTGTTGCAGGTTTGATAAATTTGGGCCTCTTCACCGCCTTTTTCTGCCTCAAAACTCGCTTCTGTGGAATTATCTCCTTGTTTGTCTTCGACTCCTCGTCGCTTTCAAGCTCCGACTCTGAGGAACTTTCTTGGGGCGTAGATGGAGTCGGATCTGCAGGTTTTGGCTGAGGGGGCTGAGGGGGCCTCTGTCTCACAGGGTCAGGTAAGGCGAACGGTGGCGGAAGGTTCATCCTATTCATCAAATGTAACACTTGTGTGTAAAATTTTGGTACAGTGGCCAAAGCGTGACCGATGTTGTTGATTGTGAGTCGATTCGCTTTGGGGTACACATATTTRAGATGAGGGGGCGGTGGTTGTTGGAATCCCACAGCACTGTTAAAAGAATTCAGTTTTGTGACAAATGATTTGAAGTGCTCCTTGTTGGTGGTGGTGGTTTGTTCAACTTTTTTGATTTTTGGTAACCCAATATCGTGGACTGCATATTCCACACATAAACGGTTTTTCAGTATGTAAGCTTGATGGAGACGAAATAGGACTTCTCTGGCGACTTCTTTCGAGTCAAATCGAGCAAATACCACCGATTTTTGGCACGATTTTGATGTTATAACCTTAACTTTTGACGCTCCAAAATGTTTCAAAAAATCCTCCTTTTCGGCATCGCTGAGTTCCTTAGGCAAATTCTTTATTTTTAAGACGTCCTCACACACCATTTTTGTCGATTATCAGCCACTTTCCCTAAAAACAACTTTTTCTTCCTTTCTAAAAAAACTGTAATTAACAGGGTTTCCAACTGTGATACCTGTCAGCTGTCACAATTACAAAATTAGAATAATTGAGTAACTCAAAAAAGGTAATTTTTTACATCTGATTGCGTTCATGTAATTTAAACATTTTCCGTCTTAATTTTCAATATTTCATACACTTAAATCACGTAAAAACTTAAATATAATTTGGGGTTACGCAACTGTCAAACTGACGTCTGTCACGGGTTAGAGGTTATGTCACAGAATAAAAAATTAAATATTCACTCTCGTTTTTGTTTAAATGATAGGTGAGTTTAACACAACACTAATTACRACYTAATTATCGTAWATTRTTTTATGTAGAAYTATCAGAAAATATTTCTGGGTCAAATAGTCTTGGGGGCTGATGCAATGGTGGGTTTTAGTGATTCTTCCCACAAACTCTCACAACTCGATTTTGTAATTGCTGGTGGAGGTTCAGGCTTTATTACACGAATGTTATGTCAGCCTTTAGATGTGTTAAAAATTCGATTTCAACTCCAAGTTGAACCGATTTTAAAAAGTAACATTTCAAAGTACCAGTCAGTGGTGCATGCCACAAATTTGATTATAAAGGAAGAAGGGGTGAAAGCACTCTGGAAAGGCCATGTTCCTGCACAATTACTATCAATAAGTTATGGAGTTGCCCAGTTTTGGAGTTTTGAAGTATTAACCAAGCAAGTTTCTACATTTAATTTATCTCCAAGTTTTTCCCCTATGATTAATTTCACATGTGGGGCCCTTGCAGGTAAATAAAACCTTGTAAAACATGGAGAAGTACGAAAAATGTTTGTAGGTTGTTACGCCACTCTTGCGTCGTTTCCTTTCGATGTAGTTAGGACCAGATTAGTTGCTCAAAGTGAAAATCATAAAGTGTATTCTGGCATTTTACAAGCTTTTACATCAATATTAAAAAACGAAGGTTTTTTTGTTTTGTATAGAGGAATTTGGCCAACTTTTATACAAGTCGCCCCACATGCAGGGGCACAATTCATGTGTTATAAATTATTTGATAGCATTTATAAATATCTAGTTAATTCACAAAATACAACGTTAACTAGTAGTTTAGTGTCGGGAAGTTTGGCAGGTTTATTTGCAAAAACTGTGGTTTATCCGTTCGATTTAGCTAAAAAAAGATTGCAAATCCAGGGTTTCGAACAAGGGAGGGTCGAATTTGGACAGTTTTTCAAGTGTAGAGGACTTAATGATTGTCTTATTAGAATTTACAAAGTTGAGGGCCTTTCTGGTTTGTTTAAAGGTCTCAGTCCCAGTCTCATTAAGGCCGTTGTAACGACGGCTTTACATTTTAGTAGTTATGAATTAATTTGTAAATCTTTGGCAAGGAGGAAAGAATAATATACAATGCTGTAGTGTGGTGTTTTGAGGCGAAATAGGTGCAAAGTATGTTAAAAACGTTAACAGTGAATAAAAATTTTATTTACACTAAGATTTAAGCGAAAAAAGTTAATTTTTATGTCACATGTCGTAATTTTTACCATTGCATACATTTTTGAAGATTAATTGAAAAGTCTTGTTTAACAAATGGAAATTTAAAACAAATTTTGAAGTATCTTTTATCTTTATTGTTTTTTTTTGTATTATGTTGTAATATTTTTTTAATTATTGTTTTAGAATAACAAAAAATTAGCTTTTTATCATACCTGCTTTATCAATGAATCCTGTGATCGTTGTTTTGTGTTCACTCATCACTAGTTACTCGTATAATTTATTTTATAGTGTGATATTATTGTCTAGTACTTAAATGAATCTGTACCAAAAAATTGAAGACTTGAGAAAAATATAGTAAAGTATTTTCAAAGATAATTTAATGTATTATTAAAAACTTACAACAACACATTGGTGACGCTATCTAACATTTATACAAATTTACAATAAATACTGTTTAAATTGTGGTTAACCGTATGATATTGTGTATCCCATATTTCTCATGAGAGTTTCCTTGATGGCCGGTTGTAGTTCTTTTTGCATATAAGTTGTTAGTAGAGATCTAATTCCTTTAAGAAAGATATCTTCCATTTCTCTGGACAGTTCCTCACTGTCTTCGTCGTCTCTAAAGCCTCGTCGGTGTTCTCTAAGCCTTGGTTCACAGCCATAGGCGTAGACACTTATGAATCCAGGCTCAAGGAAATGTGAATCAGTCTTGACGTTGAACTGGCCTCTCTCTCGTCTTATGGGCTCGGTGTGAAATCTGGAACAACGGTTTAGGACACTCAAAATTTCTATTTTCACATTAAAATTCTTATTTTAAAATAATCCAACCCTTATTCTGAGAGGAAACTTTGAAAATGAGGGTTAGTAAAAGAACCAAGGGCAGGTTTTTTATTTTTTAAATTATAACTGAAATTTTAAAGATTGAATAACTTATTATAGTGACATTTTATGGTTTCTGGCTTATATCTCGAAAACGGTGCGTGTTACGAAAAAAATAGTAATAGTAATGAACAAAATTAATGGTTATAAAATTTCCTACTAAACGGTCTCTTCCATTTTTTTGTATCTTAAATAGTATTCGAGATACCGACTGGTAAATATCACACGCACAGTAATGTTTTTTGTTCTAATTTGCCTAAATCCCAAGTTTACGGCAAAARTAATTGTGACTTAATGTTGACTGTAGATTGCTATAGGCCTCTGGAACTTGTAGAAAGTAGTCTTTTCGTAACTCCCTCCAAGGAAGTGAGGTTATGATTGTCTTCTTGCGTYTGAAAATCTTCAGATCTGAAGAAAATTTTCACTTCTTCATCCCCCACACCAGTTTATTCTGTGTTTGTCGGTACACAAAACACTAATATTATGTATTCCTGTTTCTCTTTGAAGTTTAAGGTTTTATTTATTTAATTCCCAATTGGATGCCTATACAACGAAACATAAAATGCAAATTTTCGGTCACAATTTACTTGATAGAGACCAAAAAAGAGCACAGAACGTATAAAAGGCACACATAACATTTTCTTTCAAAATTGGAATTTCCCGAATGAATGAATGGAAAGTTGAATTGACCAATTTCGTTATCTTGAATGAAACTAAAGTCTAAAGTGATTGGTTTCTCCATGGTTACTTAGATTATCATAATGGCCGACTTTAACCGGACCAATCACATCATTGTATTAAATTTGGAATGAATTCAAAAATCTAAAGTGATTGGTTTTTTATGTTAGTATAATGGCCGATCTTACACGGCCCAATCACAATACTTACAACTTTTACAATCTTTACGTTAATTCATTTCGTTTTTTTAGAGAGTGCGATATTTGTTCGCGAATATCTCGAAAGCTGTGTGRAAAACAAAGAACCCAAAAAGACCATCTTGTAGAAAATTTTATAAGCTTTAATTGTGTACATAAGCATTTTTTTTTGTAACACGCACCGTTTTGTGGACATAAATAAACAAACAAAAGACGGCACCTTTTTGATTTTTAGTATGTTCACCTCCTATCACAGCCTCCTATACTCTTTTTCATATTAATGTACATCAAGTAGGTTGTAGAATTGTAAATGCATCTTTAATTCAAAGGCCGATTCACACAAATAGTGTCATTAATGTCATTCAGAACAAATTTAATCACATCAATAATGACAAAAAATTGTATGTTTRCCACCCGACGTTAATTACGTTGTTATAGCTTTAATTATTTTTTGCTATCTCAAAACTGGGGTACACATTTTTAGAGAGGATTGAGTTTAGGATTGTTTGAATTTTCGCATGGTCGCCAACTTAAAATGATTCCTTTCAACAACTACTTCGATGCATATTAATATGAAAACGAGTATAACTTACTCAAATACAATCCTGAATTCAAAAMTTCTATTCTGAATTCTACCTACCACTTATGGGTTGAYTAAACGTTTTTGATGAAAAATTATGGATTTTTCCTCTTAAGACTCTAACTCTAACTGTAAATAACTTTTTAAACTCTCAAGATTTGACTATTTTTTAAAAGAATTTAACATGATCTCTCAATACTTAGCTTGACTTTTCTCATTATGTTATTAATTTTTTCATTATCTTCAGTCTTATTTAGTTCACCAGGTGATAAGATGTGTTAGAAAAATCGTTTTCCTAAGACCCACTAATAATTTTACGACACATTATAAGGGATTAACCAAACAATGGTTTGAATTTGTAACCCTCCATAAATGGCACGTTCCTTTGCAAGTGTTGCTGCACCCACAGAACAACACAGGGCCGTATTTAAAACCAAAGTAGTGGTAGAGTTTTACCAAGCTATTATTTAAAAAAAAATCAGTTTTATTTAATAATAGCTTGTTAATAAGCACCTGGCTTTTTTAAATTTCTTAAAATACTTGACTTTAATAACAACTACATCAAAAACTATTAAAAAAAGTAAGTAATCCGGCCCTGTTAAAAATTTTTGTAGGTCTTAGGAAAACGATTTTTCTACACAGTTATTTACACTTTTTTGTATTAAAAAGTCTTATGGAGGTATTACTTCTACTTATAATTGATGCATTTTTTAGGACATTGAAATTTGTTGCTCAAAATGAAAAAGATTAAAAAGAATAACAACATTTTTATTTGTTTGAAAAGTACTTTTTTGCATTAAAATATCGATTCATCTCATAATTATTATCCGAAAATAAAACTTGATTTCGAGTGTTGAGTAAAGAAAAATGATAACATTTCCGTTCTCGGTTATCATAACGCAACAGAAACCAATTATTTAACAGAAATTAAGACCTCCCTGAAAGCATCAATTTTAAACGAAAAATACAGAGTAATGGAAAAAGACGCCCACGATTGAAACAGGGGCGTCCTTTTTTATTGAAACATTGTGACCATCATTCCAAAAATAGTCTAAATAGATTCTTTTTAAAATTTAAACAGTTTGTCTAACAGCACAAAGTGGCAATATTGCACAATTTTCTTTTACTAAAAAACTATTTCACTCATAAAGTAAAAACTGTATATAATTTTCATATATTTATATAATTTTATTATTCCAATACGACACGACCAAAAGGTATCTAATGATTTCAATTATTTTTTTTAATCTTTGATTTTTGGCTTAAATCGTTCAAATTTCACAGAACAAGCAACATTGAAAATTGATTTTTTTCTTGCTACCGTTTTCAATAATTGAATATTACTTGGACATTTTCTATATCCTAGGATATTTGCAATGTTGCAACATTGATAAATTTTCTTTGGAGCCAAGAAATGGTATCCTAACATCTTCAATAAAGTTTATTTCAATAGACTTTTTACACATTTTTTTAAGAACACCGTCAACTGTATCAAAATCTAGACTTTAACAATGAAATTATTTTAAAACTGTTAATTATATAGATTTCTCTTTTCTAAAAAGGAAAGTCAATATCTTACTGATAAGAGCACAAATCCAATTTTGGTCTTCGAATTCGTCTTTAATAAAAGATCACGTGTGGGTTAACAATTGAATCGTAATTGAGTGTGCAGTAGATTAATTAATTAGTAAGAGTCAAGAGATCCGAAATGATACAATTTTGAGAGAAACGCCACTCTAGAGATACATCATTATGATTAATGAAAACTGCTAATTGTATGTAAATTAATCACGCGGATGTTTGTAATATTAGCTCCCAAAAATCCGGTGATGAAAGTAGAATTGCGAATATTTTACGACAGTTGCCTCACACTTATGGGAAAGTTTCGGAAATTTGATCTGGCTGATAATTACATAAATGCAAGTCAATTCCTTCCAATTAGCCTCTGAAACAGTCTCAAAATCAGCTATTGTTGGAGAGAGTGGCGTTTCCTCCAACCCAAATCGTACACACTTACCCAATGCCCGCCCGCCTCAATCGCAGAATCATGCTGCAAGAGTCTTCCGGATTCGGCTCAACGGGGGCTCTTTGGAGCATGTCGCCGTTAAAGAGGTTCACTTTGCCGCTGATCGTTAGATCGTTAAACAGCAATCGGGTCTCCAAAGAGGCGTTGCGAGGATTGAATCGACACCGGTCCACTCTTACCCAACTGTTGGAGGTTGGAAGACGCACTCTCATGTCGGTTACGTACATGTCGTAAGGAGCAGAACGGAGCTGCTGGTGGAGCGAATATCCGTTGAGGTGGAGGGTCTTTTGTTTGGCAATTTGCCGGCGACGAATTTGATCCAAGGCATTCTCGAGACGTTCGGAGCACCGGTGGTTGTAGGGGATGCTGCGATCGTCCTCGTGATTGAGGTTGTTTCCGTTTCCTCGAACGTAGGGGTATTCTGCCGTGGAAAATTTGTCGTTTTGACGAGTGGGAGGCTCTGAGGAAAGAGAAACATGGAAAGAGTTTGAGCAAATTTGAGAAACACGCAAATCGAACGTTTTGCGCCCATTAATGTGGCGGAATTTTGTTTAAAAATTGAAAAATAATCTTAGGTGTTTATTATGGGGATGAAGATTTTACACTACATACCTTCTTTTATAATAAATATAGGTACGTTACAAAATACAGGATCAGCAAAAAGTATGAAATATTTTTTGAATTTCTACTCTTTTGTGTTTTGGGAGGCGAAGCAATTGCTATTCATACTTAACCCCCTAAACAAAACAAAACAAAACAAAAAAAAAGAAAAATTAAAAATTGAATTACAGTTTAATTAAAATTAAGAAAAACTACTTAAGTAGAAATAACAGGAATTACAACAATAAAAAAAATAACAAAAAGCAAAAGTAAAAAACTAAAAGTTCAAAAAATGTATTTTTATCTTTTTGCGAAAATTGTACCTACACTGAAAGTTTTTCTTTAAACAAATGAGAAGAATTATATAACTTTATTGTATTGTATAAGAGAAAGATCTTTTAAGTATTGCTGTTTTATACTTTGATAATGACAGATCAGCAATATTACCAACAGAAACTTGATGACAACTTTTTCTCGAATGAAATATTTCACGGAGATAGGGTGGTGAAGCAGTAATAAAATTTTTATATATGAACACTGACAAGCAGGGCCGTACCCAAGGGGGGGATTAGGGGGTTCAAAGATCTTTTTTTATGAAAAACTATGAAATTTTGTTGCTGAAAGTGGCAAGAAACCACAGGTAAAATAGAGTAAATTTTTACCCTAATCCCATCTAGTTTAGGAAGCCCCTAATTAAAAATTTCAACATTTTATTTTTGTACTTGTTTAGGTGTATAAAAGTTATCATCTGTACCAAATTTTGAAATTTTTTTCTAAAATAATTTCGGAAATATTGAAAAAAAAACTATTAAAAGACGCACCCCTTGCGTAGCATTTTTCGATATAGGTATGTTCATAAAAAAAATTTGTTTTAAAAATGAATATTCTATCTCCTGTTTAAATTTGTAACAATAAAAAGTAATAAATTTTTTTAATATTTTTTGTTACTTTTGTGAGTTAATTTGTATTTTTTTATGTTTAATTAAGATCTCTTATTTCAATTTAAAGTAAAAACGTGTACTTAGAGATTTTTGCTTTTTAATCCGCCTTCTTTCATTTCATTTTCATGGACCAACAAGAAAGCACCAATGACTCGCATAGTTTTTTTCGAAGTTTAAAATTCAAAATGTGATAATTGGAATACAACATTTTTAATGCAATATAAGACCTCTTTACAATCAAGTTGACATATTCTCTAAATCGTAATTCCGAATTCATTATAATTCCAAGATTTTTTACACTGTTTGAGATACCTATTTTAATATGGAAATCAATCAATTTTGAGATTAATTTGATTTTTATTTCTTGTGGAAATGCAAATTGATGAACATTTACTCGAATTTAAATTTAAGCCAATGCTTTTAGACAATAAGAAAATTTCATTTAGATCTTGATTAATAAAGTTGCAAGCTAGTTCTACATCGTCAGGATTAAAATGATAGTACAACTCTGTATCATCTGCAAAGGCATGGATGTTAACATATTTTACCGATTCTAATATTTCTGCGCTGTATATTAAAAATAGAAGTGGCCCCAAAATTGAACCTTGCGGAACAGCGGATGTAATATTTCCTGCTCTTGATTGTGAGGGACCTATTGTAACAATTTGTTTCCTATTAGTAAGATACGAATTAAAAAAAATTGTTGTCAAAAAATACACATTGAAAATTAACAAAGTTATTACTTTTAATCTCGGGTCATATTTGAGTATAATGTAATGTGTCTAGATTTAGATATCTAATGAAGAACAAAATTCTGAATATTGTACAGCTGGTAAATAAAAAAAGGCAATTTTGAAGTTATATTAACTGGAAGTTTTAGTTTTTTTGAGAGGAAATCTATAGGTACTTATTATTTTTTCATTTTCCCAACATAGCTCCTATTAATAATAAATCATTATCAGTATTAACACATTAAATTAGAACAATTATGTATCAGTTTTCAACTTACCATCACCGACAGATCGAATAAATTTTTCTTAATGTGAAAAAATATAGCAAATATAACATATAGCAAGACGTTGGGGTAGGAATAAAGTGTGATGAAATTAAAAAAAAATTTGACCCTTCTTGTATTTTGTTTCATTTGTTATTTTTATTACACATAAGTGATCGAAAACAATACGCCCCTGTGGCGAAATGACTACTTTTAAGCGGAAATGAGGGTTTTTCAGATATTGAAAACATTTTTTAACAAGTTATTGTATTAAAAAAGACTCTTGGACCGAAAAGTTCATTCTTAACCGAGGTTTAACATATTGATTTTGCATTAGATGTCACGCAATTTAGACAGCTAACTAATTTCTCTAATTATGGAGACCTAACAGCCTATCAGTAGTTAATCTAATGGCTTGTAATACATACTATGAACATTGCTAACTACTGTTGTAATTATTTACGCATCAAGGGACTAAAGGAATCTTCTCATCCCATATCGGCGCTAACAATGTGATGAACACTACGTCCATATTTACAAAAAATGATTCTTCTTACTTATTAACGTATTAATGAGAGAAATTAGTAGTAATAATCTTGACATTTTAACAACTCCGGTGCAGAAAACGCGTTAATTGTAAGCTTAGTTACGTTCGATCAGCAAATTATAGTGAGTTGCAATATTTCTTAGTTTTTACAAGGGTGGAAAATAGTTATTTATAGTACAACGCCCATAGTTGCTTGTAAGAAACTTGAGGATATTTCTTGTTAGTTAGTAAAATAAATATTTATTAAAAATCCACTTGAATCAGTCAAATCTGAGAAGTCTTCTTATTGTTTATTTTAGTCATTTGATTTCTTTAAAGGCTTTTAATTCCTTTGCGTACTGCAGATATTTATATTTTTCTAAAAGAGGAACTCCCTTGTTATTTTTTAAGTTTATTTGCAACATCACAATCAAGACTTTTATCTTTTCAAAACGAAAATCTAATTACATACCTACCTTACATACTTATATTTTTCTAGTAATTCTACGAATTCGCCATTTGCCGCCAAAGTAGATTGAAAATTTTAATTTTGCTGCAGAGGTCATCATATGCAATCATTTGAAAATATTAAGTCAAGGAACAATTAATTGTTTGATTACTAGACAATACAATTCGATGTACATTCACGTATACGAGTATGTAGTTTAGTTGTCTTATTTGCGTTTACGGATGCAATTATTTATTACAACGACATGTCTTACAGGTAAGTACTTTGAAGCATAAATGTGTCGTGTGCCATGAATAATAGCTTTTAGATATCTAATATAATAATTAAATTGCTCGTTACTAATTACATAAACATACCTATTTAGAACAACAATTTCTGGGTAAACTGTCATAAAGAAATTGTGTTAATAAGTTGCTTGAAATTCTATTGTSTAGATTTGAATATGACGAGAAATTAAACAYAATTATTTGATATTATTTACGTAAACCGACGAAAATTACCTCGACCCCAAATATTTTCACACTTCAAAACATTTYAATTGCCYAACCATGCATATTTTTGACTATATGCATCTTGTAGAGTAAACAAGTATAAACAAATATCTACCTAAAACTTACAATAACAATATTATTAGTTTTGTTATAGTCAACATTAAAGAAATGTCCGTTTAATGGTGGTTTTTTGACTTATAACTGATAATTGCAAAAAGTATGAAAAAAACCCTAATGTTGGTATACTTCGTGCTATTGCTATCGCCACACTGGCAACGTCGCATATGCATTTTTTGAGGTGAAATAGGTTAAAAACATTTGATTTCTGTGTAAAAGAAGAATCTGTGTTACAACTGAACCCAACTATGGTTCCACTATTTCATACATAARAAACACTGCGAAAATTGAGACAAGTGACGATAGCTATGGCACGAGATATACCTATTCAATAATAGGTGCACTAATATCAATCAAGATGTTTTTGTTGATATAAATGTAAAAAAGACGGCTTTATTGCCTTTATTTGTTCTGTACCTTATATTATTGTACGTTGTACGAATTCCGTGGTACCGTGGCAAAAAAATTTAAAATCTTTTCAATTGGTAGTCACCCCAGAAAAATTGACAGAAAAAAAGTGGGAGAATAGAAATTTCACCAACCAGGTAATATTAAATTCACTAGATTCAGTGGTATTTAGACAAGGATGGTAGACGTAAAGGATTGCTTAAGCTCACCCGGTCACGTGGTCCATAGACATGGATGTGACGTCACAACTGGTCTTCAAGCTTGACAAATACATGGGAGTTAATTGGAGCAAATACCAAATAATGCAAATAAAAGTGAATTATGACTTTAATTTGTTAAAATCGCTTTTGAATTTATAATGAAATCATTCTAGTTATATTATGAGATAATAAAAAATAGAATTTTCTGCTTATTTGTGTCCTAAAATTGAGTAAATCAGTTTTCTAATCGAGGCAATCAGACGCAATACTTTCAATAATTTATTTTTCTCCATATAAGACGTTTAGAATAGGAACAATTTTTTATTTTTTATAACGACGGGTATTCTTTCCTATTTTTTTCTTTTTTAAAATGCTCTATCAAAAATGATTTAATAAATAAATTGCCATTGAAATTTTTTGATCGTACAGTCGTGAAAATAACAATAATATTCCTATGGAAACGGTTTTTATTTTTAACAATTTTATATGCAATAAATTTTATTGATAAATAATATTACAAAATCCAATAATGGATAATTGGTCAAAAAAAATGTAAAACAAAATAAACCATTTTTATAATAATGTAGTGACTTTAAGGAAGAAAGGAAAGAGCAAAACGACCTTCAACACAATATAAATTAGGTAGGTAGAAACGGGTTTTGTTTTTGACAATTTTGTATGCAATAAATTTTGTTGATAAATAATAATACAAAATCTAATAATGGATAATAGGTAAAAAAATGTAAAACAAAAAAAACATTTTTATAATAGTGCAATAACTTTAAAGAAGAAACAAATGAGCAAAACGACTTTTAACACAATATAAATTTTATTTCTTGAAATAAAAAACATTTGGTAGCTGCACTAAATTTGAATTTTGAAACCAGCGTAGGTACAACCAAAATTCAGTTAAATGATATCCCATAAATTAAACAAAGATTTTTAAATAATATTTGCTTTCTCTTTTTGTCCACATGACTTAGAGATTATAAAAACAATACAATAGAAAAAAATAACTTTGTATTTCTAAAATTATTGAAAAATAAAGAGATTACAAAAATTAAAAATTAATTAACAATTTTATAACATAGGTACATAAGTTGTTAATAAATTACAAAGAGGTGCTAAACAGATTGATTTACTAACACCCCACGTTTACAAATTTAACTGAAGCATAAACGTGAAATTTTAATACAGAGTTAATACAGAATTTCTGGGGGTTACAATATGCTTGGGGAATTATAGTGAAACACTTTGTATCTCGTGTAAAGTTAGCGATGCAAGTTTATAGATATGTACAGTCGCGGCCATTGACAAATAAAAAAAAAATTGGCGTTGTAAATTTTCCCTTGAAATTGACAATCACTGTCATGTTTAAAATGTCACTAGAATCTTCTTCTTTGCTTTAAGGACAGTCATTTTGTTCACATTTATTTCTTCTGCAATGACTCGTATAGAGACATTGTCCCTTAATCTTGTAATAATAATAGATTTCTGTACATTCGGCAATTGCGGCATTTTTAAATTTTCCTGACGGCGTCCACCACTGATTTGTCAAAAGTGACGTTTTCAGTGACACTGACAATCACGACGAAAAAATTGCATTATGCAATTTTTTTAATTTTGAGTTGATGTGTCAAAATCCCGTGTATTACTTTTCAACGACCGCCACTGTACCTACTTATAATATATTCATTTTTGTTTTAGATCAGAGTAGGCTATGGAAATTTGGCGACAGTAGCTGTATGACAATAAAATAGCCTACTCTGGTCTAAAACAAAAATAAATGCACAATTGTTTTTGTTTTTTTTTGTAAATGAAGCAAATTGAACTATGAATTGAACTTATCAGCTCGTCTGCACTTGTTGACCCATTCCTTTCTCATCGTTGATGAGATCATATTGTTGCCCATAGAAAAAGAACAAAAAATGAGATTGGCACCCATTTGTTTTGGTTTATTTGGCTGCTGTTACAACCAAATAACAGCGCACCAGGCATAGTGACGATATATGCACTACCTATTTAAAATTATTGGAATTACTTTAAATATACTAAAATTTGCATTGTTTCGTAGTACAATTTTYTTTTGTACGATATTAATATGCAGTAAATATCATTAAAACACCCAAAAACCCGAAGCACCGCTGATGTAAACAATGTTGACCAGTTGTGACGTCACGCGATGTGGTGGGGATGATGAAATACGGCATAATCCTCTATGTCTACCATCCTTGGTATTTATAGTGGTTTCACAGATTATCTGGTAAACAGGTAATCTGTGGTGGTAGACAGTGTTAGTGGATTTAAGATTAAAGGTTGGTATCTTCTATGGTTGGTATGTTGTTGCTGAGGGTGGTTTCCGGTTTCAGAGTGCTGTCTGCTGTGTGTATGTAAAAGAACACAAAGACCTATCGAGCGATCAAGATAATTTGTAATCGAGTCATTCTTGGATGTGAAAACGTATGTCTGTAAAATGTCAAGTAAAATCACAAGTCGAAAGGTAAAATGGCACGATCAAAAAGGTGATAAATTTATAATTTACCTTAAAAAAAGAGTGGTCCTACTCATATTATTATACAGGGTGATTCAGCTTAAATGACCCACTAGACCCCTCTTGGCAGACAACCTATAATACACAAAGCAATTATTCCTTGATTCATATTTGAATTTTGAAAGTTTCATGAATCTAAAAATATCCTTCTTTGATTCACGATATTTTGAAAATTTAATTTTGAATCAGGGAATAAGTGCATAATGTATTTATTATATGTTGTCTGCCAAGAGGGGTCAGTTGGGTCATTTAAGCTGAATCACCCTGTATACGTCGGCGACTAATTCCAGCCCATTTTGCCATTTTACCTTCCGACTTGTCATTTTATTTGACGTTTCACGGGCAGTTAGACATACGTTCTCGGATGCAGAGATAACTCGATTACAAATTATCTTGATCGCTCGATATCAGTGGCTCGATATTTGTTGATTACATTCCAACACAGTTTTCAAGTGTTTCAACATAATATAACTTCAATCAGTTGAGTTAGTTCGTCATTTGTTAGATGTTTTTGTGTTAAATACTAATCATCGAGAAAAAGGTGCAATGGCTAAGGTGTCGTATCAGGTGGGTTATCAATTTTTTTGTGGAATTTTATTTGTTTGATTTCGAGTTTACGATTTCTTGCTTTTTATGTGAATATTTTGAATGGACTTTAAATTCATGTAAAGGTGTTTTTCGACATATACTCGTATAATAATAGAATAGAAAAATCCTATCTAACTACGCCGTCCTCTACTTTTTCATTTTTTCTTAAATTTTATTTTCGAATAAGTTTTAAATAATTGTGGTAGGGCGTTTTTAGAACATGTGTTCCGAATTTTTTTGAACAAATTGTATGTGCCCAAAAGCAGCTAAAGATGTCCATGAAATGTATTTTTGATTTGGGTCTCATTGTATTTTAGGAAACAAAGGATTTCTTTGAAGCCATTAGAAAAGGAGATTTAAATAAAGTTCAAGTATACGTCTCAAACAACTCGACTTTTTTAACTTTATGTTCAAATGGCTTAACTCCACTTATAGTCGCAATATATTCAAAGAATTTTGACGTAATCAAGTATCTAATACAAAAAGGAGCCAATGTTAATTGCAAAGATAGTTCTAATCATACCCCTTTAGGTTTGGCAATATCGAAGAACTGTTCACTAGATATTATAAAGCTACTTATAAATAATAATGCAGAGATAAATCAAATGACACATTATGATTATACTCCACATTCACAATACTCACAATATACTCCACTCTCAGTATCCATTATATGCAAAAATTTGGAGGTTGCTAAACTCTTAATTGATAAGGGGGCCGACATGTATAAACAAAACTCTGATAAAACTACTGCTCTAAGCCTTGTTCAAAAATATAATAATGTAGACATACTGATTTATTATTACACACCTCTAGGATATGCCATTTTTAACGGAAAATTAGACGAAGCACGACAACTTTTAGAAGAGGGTGCAGATGTTTGTATAAGTGGTGCAAGCAAAAAAATTCCTCTTGTAATAGCCGTTGAAAAGGGGAATCTCGAAGCAGTCAAACTTTTATTTGAATTTGGAGCCGATTTTACGATGCCAACTGCTTTGTTACAGGCCATAAATGTTGGTAACCTCGAGATGATCGACTTTTATATAAAAAACAATGTTGTAATTAATTACGAACATCGGGATGGAACTACACCTCTAATAAAAGCAATTCGGAAGGGGAATTTTGAAGTGGTGAAAATTTTGTTCGAAAATGGCGCCCACGTCAACTTTAAAAGTAGTCACGGTTCTTATCCATTGTTTGAAGCTTTGAAACTTGACAATTGCGATATTATAAAATATTTACTAAGTAAGGAAGCGAAAATGAATGGTAAATGTTTAATGAAAGACAATTTTCAATGTGTAAAGAATTTAATTAAGTATAAAATTGAACTCAAAACTGTTTTGCTGGGTGATCTTGAACCTTCTACTTTGCTAAAAGGGGTTGAAACTAAAAATGCCCTTTTTGTAAAATATCTTTTGAAACAAGGACTTTCAATTAATTCGTATGACGACAAGCAAAAAAGTCCACTCGCAGTCGCTGTAAAAAATCACAGTGTCTTAATTGTCAAAATTTTGATCGATGCTGGCGCTCGTATAGATTCAGCCAAAGAAGAACTGAAGGAACTTGCCAATAAGAATGACGAATTCTATATCTACTATCAAAGTTTGAAACTAAACCTAAACAAACCTACATTATTTTCCGAAGGTAAGTTTTTAAAATTTTGGTCATAATGTAATACTAATTGTTTCCAGGGTTTGGCAGTGGAGCTCACGAAGCAGCAGATTAAACACTGAAATTTGTTTTTAAGATTTTAGAGTTTTTGCTTTCATTTTTCATTACACAAATAAATTTATTATTATTCATTTATTATTATCCAGGTTATGCTTTTAGACTTTTTGTTTATTTTTCATTAGCTACAGAAATAAATGTATTATTAACCAGTAGTATTAAAGTTATTAACCTAATGCCCATACACTTTTCCCTCATCACCCGATTAATTTTCTTGATTCTTATCATCAATTAATTTTTTTGGCGCTCATCTGCGTACTCATTACAATTTTGAGGCTATTCTGACATCCATCAACAACTCAAAGCAATGTTTAATTTTTGGAATGAAATTAAATTAAAATTCTCTATTTGATTGAATTTTTTTTTTACGTAAGAAAGTATTTCTTCTAGTGATTTAAAAAAAAAGGTTTTTGATGTGGCACCTCGTTTGTTGATAATGGAAAAAGTTCCCATCCTCTTATGAAAATCTAATGTCCATTCAAATCAAGATTTTTTTTGTATCAAGCGATAACTTTTGAAATAAGGAGCAATTCGTACCATAATAGGTCTTTTAATTGCATTGTGTTTTTTGTTTAGATATTCTTAATTCGTCCTAAATATCTTGATCTATTATTATGACAACATACCTGTAAATATTGGCAAAGCTTTTGCTGTGTCACTCTGTAAGTACGGTTTTGTAGATTTTTTTTGTCAGACTTTTCTAATTTAAAATTTTAATTGGTATTCGGAATCAATGAGAATGTTAATAGCATTTCTATAAATATTTGAAATTTAAAAAGGAATAGTTAATCAGACTTGAGACGAACAGTTCGTTCTGTGAAATTTCTGCTACTGAAAGGATGAAATCGAATAGATGAGAGAGAATTAATTGAAATTGATTCAATTTATCACAAAGCTTTCTAGAATAATTAAAGAAATATGACTATAATAGTAACCAATAGGCAGGGGATGGGGGCGATCACCACCTCCCCCAAGCGCGTCAACAAATATAAATATGAATAGTTTTACAATAAATTACATTTATCTCCACTACGGGTGCAAAAAATCAGGCATTTCCTTTCTATAATAGTTATGAAAAACTGAAAGTTTCAGAAATACTACTAAATTAGTATTTATGATAGGTTTTACAACTTACTCACTACTCTAAGTTAAAATGATAACGCAATTAATTTCTGTTGCAATCGACAAAGCAATGACACTATTTGAATATTATTATTCTTGGCTGAGAATCGACATAATTCTTATTTTACTTTTTATCTACCTACATAATAGCATGATCAGTTTGCAGTTCTCGAATCTTCCAAGACCTAAACACGCAACTTGACATTTTTGAACTTTCTTTAAATTGAATAAATGTACTACTGGAGCAGTATGAAAATGTAAATAAAATGCAGAAAGCGACTAATATGTTGTCCTGTTAACTAAAAGTGTTACTTTTGTTTATATTTCTTTGTTTAAGTGAATCAGATAAGGACGGAAAGCTGATTCATTTATTGATAAGCTCGCAAAGAATAAAGACTAAGCTAATTACATCGTGAAATTGTGCGAAAACGCTAAACTCACCATGAGAATCGACGAGGGTGGTTGTGTCTTCGGCCAAAATTGACACCACCATATCAGTAAAACTAAGAGCCCAGAGGAACAGCATCCACATTTGAAGATACATCGCACGATTAACAATCGAGTCGGTTATCAATTAGTTATTGTTGACGGGAATCAGACCGTTTCCCAGACTCTCACTGGTAGGTGTAGGTGCGTTCGGCAAGAGTGTCTTCTTAGAACTGGCGTAAAACTTGAACCATGGCTAACGCTGTACCTCCAAGAAATAATGGAGCTTTTACACGAATTAAACCAGGTCGCTCTACTATTGTTGGCGCGGATGTCTCTAGAAATCCGATGGTTCCAGTGAAATGCGGGAAACTGCCATTACCATGCATGGCGGTTGATGAAGAAAGTATAGTCGCCAAAATAACACGACCGTTGCAGCGGAGATAATTGACAAAAAATTTAGGTGACGTTACACCATTCATTTTGGTTTCCTGTTGTGGTTTAACAATGGTTTTACTCGAATCGATTTTTTTATTATTATATACATGTGTGCCTCTTCATTGACTTTCAAAATTGTTGTGCATGAGTGAGTAGAGAATTAATTTGGTGCGTTGCACACTGAGAAGTGTCATTAAAGTAAATGGAAAATGTTTTGAAAACGTGTTGAACTTGTGATTTATTCTTGTTTTAATATTTTCATAAAAGCTTATGTATGTACGTTATTATTAAAACAAATTTAAATTCTCCAATTAAACTGTGTTATAGTCATAAATAAAATATGGAATTATCGTTTGGGGAGCCGTTTATAACAATTTTCTGAATAAATAGCTTTTCAGAGAGGTGAAATATCTTATTCGATGGGAATTTAATAAAATTGTACTTACTAAATTTCTAGAAACCGTTTATTTCTTTATAATTGAATTGAATAAATTGACAAAAATTTAAAGAATCGCAAATTTTTGTAAAACTTTTCCTTTTTTTTTCAAAGAACGTTTTGTCTAGAAGATAGCCGAGAACGCTCAACTTCGGAAAAGCTTAACATTCACCGGGCACCTGAATTTTTGCACATTAAAAGCACACAAGCTCCTTACGTTCTTAAAATAGCTTTAAAAGCTGCTTGTTTAAAGAAGAAGTTTTTTATTGAGACTGATACCACAACGGAAGCTTTGTAAAACATCAGTAGATTCTTTTTTTACACTGTATGAATAGCTGGATACTCATTTGTAACTGTTTAGTCAAACTTAGTTTCATTTAATTTAGTTGTATTTTCTAGTGACAATAAGTCGTAATCTTTCGAAAGAAATGGAAAAAGGTCAGAAATTTTGCACAAATTTTTAGAAATCGAGATATTTTAGATATGTTACAATCAATAATAATAGGCCATATTTGTAAGATGTAAGAAAAAACTATTTTCAGTTTTCATCTTCAAAACGTTTCAACTAAGTATAAAAAAGTGGCCTTTAATCAACACTGATTTAACTTAACCTTTTACAAAAGGGGAGATTTTTACCTAGATACCCAGAAGGAAGAGACAGAGTAATTAAACACTCTTCAATATACAGGTGCGCCAGAATTCGCGCCCCAGAGAAAAGTGTCATGTAAGGTAAGATATTAGGAACATGGAAAAAATGTTAAAAAAATTCTATCTATTAAAATTTTGAAGTTATGAGAGTCTAAATTATGCACTTTGACTTCATTTATTTATTAAATATATTATTAAATAATTTTCCAAGTTTTATTGCTACAGGCTATTAGAAGAGGAATCAAAGAAGCTGCATCCTAAATTTTAACTCTGTTTAATGTGATTTGTGGCTTTTATTAGCAAAATTTTTGTGCTTTTACTAAATAATTATAAATAAACATATACATTAAATATACATAAAAAATGTCAAATGTCAAAAAAATAAATGTCAAAATTTTTTAAACATTTTTTTCATGTTCCTGGTAACTTATCTTACTTGAAATTTTTCTCTGGGGCGCGAGTTCGGGCTCACCTGTACGTCTTTTCAATACTTATGTTTGTGGAATAACGAGATCACTTTACAAAATGTTTCAATAATTTTTTAGAATTTTTTAGAATAAATATAGCAGAAATATAAGTTTTCAGGCCATTTTAGAAAAAAAATTCCCCCCACGTATTAGTTTTTCACCTTAGAGAAAATATCTCTCAACAAATCGTCATTTTTTTTACTGTTTTATAATTTCTGGTCCTACGATGGAACATCACATGATTGTACTAATTATAAAACTGGAACAAAATAATTCCAATCAATTGTAAAAATAACATAATAATTGTTGAAAATGATAAAAATTATTTAGCTACTTTGTTACATTATCAGTCAAAGACGTTTTTTAAAAACTTATTTTTAATATTGAAGTGACGAAAATTCGTAATATAACTAATATATCTGCTAGTAGATGGATAAGTTGCACATTTACCGTTTACGTATTTTAAATTATTCAAATATCAGTTTTTGTTGAAAATTACTTGAGTGCACACATAACTAGATACATATTTCTTTTGCACTTGATCTCAATCACTGATCCAATAAAAATATTTTATAAGGTGTACCTGTAACGTTTCAGTTACTTACCCTTATTACGTTTTCACTCAGGAATAGTTTATATGCTATTTTCGTATTACGCAACATGCATACGAATTTAATCTGTCATATTTTTTTTATGACTGGTGCTGTTTCAGTACATAATTCAAGATATGCAATAAAAAATTACATCAATGATAGTACGTGTGAATTATGGTTTATGGTCACAAAATAATTGATTTTTGAAAACTTTCTGAATTGGGGTCGAAATAATGTTGCAAATCAAAACTTTCAAATCACAAATCGATAGAAAAAGATAATATGATTTATTGTTTCACCTTTTTTACATTCTATTATCAGATTTCACGTGAAAGGCTATACATATGAGGTTTATACGTAGTTACTGATAGTTACCCATCAAGGAGTAATAAATTATCAGTTTTCTTATTTTTAGTAAGATATCTAATCTACTTTTATAAGTGTAATTTAATAACAATAAACTTTTATTCAAACTCAGGCAAACGGTTTAACTTTATTATTAGGTATACAAATACATAAAATCTGAATGTGAGTATTATTATAGAAAAAAAAAACGTTGAGTTTCTTTCGTTTATGAAAGTAATAATGAATTAAAGAACACAATAAAAAGTGTAACAACAGTCAGAAACATTCATTTTAACAACACAGCTGTCAATATTTATGATGATATGAATTCATAGGGGTAGTACATGTGAAAATATGCAGTTAAAATGAAATACTTGCCTCACAGTATCAGACTGAACACATTATATGAATATGAGACATGAGGGATGCAAATATCTTTTTTTATGGCATCGTTATGAATGCTTTGTGAAACTGTATAGTGTCGCTTTTGAATCAAAAATAGCTTTCTACGCATCAGCAATAAAATTTATTATATGAAACATGGAAACGGCGAAAATGTTAGGCTGAATGTGATTTCTGTTTTATCGCAAATGATTATTATTATAGTAGAGTGCGAAATACCAACCATTATATAAGGATTTTATTTTTATGGTTGTTATTGTCAATATTATAGCTGAAATGGAAGGAAAGCTCATGGTGTATTATGTAGTGACAAATAATTGAGGAACTGATTGAAATAATTAACGTCGGGTTGTAAAATACTGTTATATATTTCTGCTATTGTTTTCTTTGTTAATTAGGCATTTCGTTGTGTAAGCGACAAAGTTTTCGTTGATTTCTTTTCGGAAATTAGACATTTCCTGTAGTTTACAGCGATTTAAAATTATTTCGGTTCTCTCAATTTAAGTTAAATCTTTCTAATTAATACTTCTTTAGAAACTTCATTCATGTTAATTTAAAGCGTACCTATTTGGAATTTGAACTTTATTCTGAAGCGTGTAAAGACCAAAGTTTTTGATTTTTTTTTTATTATTTGATGGATTTTGGAAGTTCTTAAAAAGTGGCAACCATCATACGTAGCTATAAAAAAGTAGGTACTTAATTAACTATCTTACTTAGTTTTATATTTTTATAAAGATTGTTGGCAACAATTTGTCGTTTTGATCAATTCATACTATTGTATTTTATATGTGAATAAAATTGTGATAAAGTAAATATTGGTTTTATTTCCGTTCCACAATTTTAAAAGTTGAATTATTTAAATGAAACGAGCGAGAGCTAAATTGTAGGTAATAAAAGTTATGATAAAGAATATTATCAAGGGAAAACAATTTTGCCATCGTTGTGATGAAAACTGTTTAAATATTTAATCAAACGGGTTTTTAAATTATTTAAATACTGTTAAAAAGCTCACGTTGGATAGATTATTATTAAATAAATATAACATTTATAATAGGTATACAGTCGACTCAAAAATAATAGGAATAGATTTGTTTAGAATGTCAATTTGGTTTTGATTGTAGATATGTTGTATTTGTTATTTAAATGTTATTTGCTTTTTTAACACTGACAAAAAACCTAACCCTACAAACAGCGAATAAAAACCATAATTAAAACAGAAATTCTTATAGGCTGTTATTTTATTGCCGTTTGATTTTATATTAAAAAAAAATCATTGGATATAAGAAAAGTACTTTTATTTGTATATTTATGTATGTATCTACCTTAAACTACTTGTACTTTTTAACTTTCTAATGATTTCATCTGCTTTTGAATGCATATGATTTTAAATAATTACTATTTACAAACACTACTTTGACAATGCAGAATATATTATTTTTTGAGTGTTACTATCAAAAGCTTTCTCTTAATTATCCACGTAAACATTTAATTAACAATCTTACGCTTTTGTTTTTTTTT